AATATGCTCCCAATCCCTTAGATTCTAATATCTTTATGTCCTAGTGATTATAATAGTTAAAATAATTTATGTCCTATGTATTGTAAATAGTTAATAACGTCATCACTTTTAGGTTGGATATCCAATAAATGTATTGTGCACATTTGATATTCAATAAATAAAGTATGTATTCTATATATCATCAAAGAGTTTCATATCAAATTCTTTATTTATATATCATTTCTACGTGGGTCAATTTGATGGAGGAGGAATTATGCCTAGTGGACAGTGGTACCACTAATTCTATACTTAGAGAAACAAAGTATTTTCAAACTCTTACAAAAAGACAAGGAAACGCTCTGACAATTGCCGGGCACGATGCTACAATAGTTGGCTCTGGTCATGCCACTATTGTACTCCTCATGGGTATCCAAATTACAATTGAGGATGCATTATTGTATCCCGATTCAAAGCGTACCTTGTTAAGTTATAGAGATATCCGTCAAAATGATTTTCATATAGAAACCCGTGATAACAATAATGAGGAAATTCTCCTTGTTACTAAAAATAGCGGATATGGCAAACGAATTGTAGAAAAAAATCCCTCTTTTTCGTTCGGATTGTACTACACATACATCAAACCCGTACCACATGTTGCGTACAAGGTAATTTTTTAGAATGTTGACTCATTCAAAACTTGACATGAACGCCTTGGTCATCCTGGTATAGGGATGATGCGAAAAATTATCAGCAATTCTAATGGTTATGAGTTAAATACTGCTAAATTCCCCAAATCTTCAGATTTTATGTGCACTTCATGCGCTACAGGGAAATTGATCGTACGACCATCGCTCGTTAAGATCCAAAATGAGCCACTAAAATTTCTTGAACGCATTCAAGGAGATATTTGTGGCCCCATACAACCAATGTCTGGACCATTCAGGTATTTCATGGTTCTAATAGATGCATCTACGAGATGGTATCATGTGTGTCTTTTATCCACACGTAACCATGCATTTGTAAAAATTATTGCTCAAGTTATTAGACTTAGAGCACATAATCCTGAACATCAAATTCAATCAATTCGAATAGACAATGCTGCTGAATTTTTCTCAAAGGCTTTCAACGATTATTGTATGGCTTTGGAAATTCAAGTTCAGCACTCTGTCCCATATGTCCATACACAAAATGGTTTAGCAGAATCTCTTATTAAGAGAATTAAACTCATTGCAAGACCGTTATTACAAAATTGCAACCTACCAACTTCATGTTGGGGTCATGCAGTCTTACACGCTACTGACTTAATTCAATTGTAACCAACTACATATCACGCAGTCTCCCCATTGCAATTAGTACGTGGGAATATGCTAAATATTTTTCATCTGCGAAAATTCGGTGGCGCTATATACGTACCGATCTCACTGCCTAAGCGTACCTCTATGGGCCCACATAGGAAACTTGGTATCTATGTGGGATATCAATCTCCATCGATTATCAAATACCTCGAGCCTCTTACAGGGGACTTATTCATGGCCTGATACGCTGACTGCATATTTAATGAGGACCATTTCCCGGCATTAGGGGGAGACTTCAAGTAACAAAACGAATGCCAAGAAATCATTTGGAATGCCCAAGGCATTCCTCCCTCAGATCCACGTACTCTAGAGATTGAACAACAAGTTCAGAAAATCATAAACTTGCAACATATTGCAAATAACCTGGCAGAAGCATTTGCTGATTATAAAGGTGTCACTAAATCCTCTTATCCTACTCGCAATGTGTCCGAAAGAGTGGAGGTACCAATAAAAACCATTCAACTCCCACTTCCAAATAAGAGGGGGAGAAGTATGGCTGCTCCTAAGGATAATGCTCTAAGTAAGCATCCAAGGATATCGAGGGCTAAATCCTCCAAATCAGTAAATCGAAGCCAACCTCAAGTTGGTAGACACCCAATAGTGGATAAAAATCCAACATCAGGACCAAAATCCACAACCCAGATCAATGGTGTATCCAAATTCTGATCCTGGGATATCGAAACACCCTGACTCCATAGTTTTGGGAAATGTTGAGTCAAATAATGAGGTGAAAGAAATTTCCATCAATTACATAGATTCTGGAGAATCATACGATCGTAAGACTACTGTTGTCGATATGTACTTCTCCGCAGCAATTGCAGAAATCTTTCTCAATGATCCAGATCCCAAGACCATGGTAGAGTGTAAAAAGCGCTCGGACTGGGCTCAATGAAAAGAAGCAATTCAAGCTGAGATAGCCTCGCTCACTATAAGAGGGGTATTCACATCTGCAATACCTACACCTTCCAAAGTCTTTCCTGTAGGCTTTAAATGGATTTTCGTCTAGAAATGGAATGAGAACAATGGGGTGGTGAGATATAAAGCGAGGCTAGTAGCACAAGGGTTCACGCAGAGACCCTGCATACAATGAAACCTATTCTCCAGTAATGAGTGGAATTACTTTCCGATACTTAATATCATTGGTAGTTCAAAATCATCTATCTATGCAGTTGATGGATGTGGTGACAACATATCTATATGGGTGACTTGATTCAGACATATACATGAAGGTTCCCGATGGAATCCAAATACCGAATCCAAACGCAAATCGTAACATGTATTGTGTAAAACTACAAAAGTCATTATATGGCTTGAAGTAGTCGGGACGAATGTGGTACAACCGACTGAGTGAATTCCTTCTAAACAAAGGATACACTAACAATGATGATTGCCCATGTGTTTTCATTAAAAAATCTCGAACGGGATTTTACATTATATTCGTATATGTTGATGATTTAAATATCATTGGCAACCCAAAGGATATAGAAGAAGCACGCAAACATCTAAAGAGAGAATTCGAGATGAAGGATTTGGGTAAGACCAAATATTGTCTAGGCTTACAACTTGAGCACCGTCCTTCAGGGATTTTAGTGCATCATTAGCCTATATCCAGAAAATATTGGAGAAATTCAATATGGATAAATCATACCCTAATAAAACTTCGATGGTTTTTCGTTCCTTAAAAATAGGGAAAGATCCATTTAGACCACGGGATATTGAGGAAAAGATGTTAGGACCATCCCATATCTCAGTGTCATTGGCGCACTTATGTATCTTGCAAATTGCACCAGGCCTGATATCACATTTACATTGAACTTACTGGCTAGGCATAGTGCGGACCCAACTCGCCGTCATTGGACAGGAGCGAAGTGTATCCTTAGATACCTTAATGGCACAAAGGATCTTGGTTTATTTTTCAAGAAAAATCATAATCCTAGTATGATTGGTTATATTGATGCTGGTTACTTATCTGATCCTCATAACGGAAAATCCCAAACATGATTTGTATTCCTACATGGAGGTACAACTATTTCATGGAAGTCTTCTGAGCAGACTCTGACAGCGACCTTTACTAATCATTCTAAAATTATTGCTCTGTATGAGGCATCACGGGAATGTGTATGTCTTCGCAGAATGATTGACCACATACAACGGTCATGTGGTATTGGTTCAATTGAATCACCTACAATTATCTATGAAGATAATTCCGCTTGTGTTACACAGATGCAAACAGGTTACATAAAGAGCAATATCACTAAGCATATTGTTCCTAAACTGTTTTATCCCCATGAATTACAAGAAAGCGGGGAAATAAACATCTTGTAAATCAAGTCATATGATAATCTCGCTGACTTATTTACTAAGTCCTTACCAACTTCTGTGTTTCAAAAATTGGTACATGGAATTGGTATGCGACGACTTCGAGATTTACCAGAATCAGGGGGAGACATCTCCTAAATGTTGACCTGTACCAGCATCATATTATACTCTTTTCTTTTACAAGTTTTACTCACAAGTTTTCTTGTTAAAGTTTTTAATGAGGTAATGTTAACATAAGCATTTGTTATATTTTCTATTTTCCCCACCGGGGTTTTTGTGTAAAATATCAAAGACACATATTACCCTCACAACTTATCCATGGTTTTTTCCTGAAAAAGTTTTTCATGTGAGTTATCCTAGAGGCAATACCAATAATATGTTGTCATATTTTCTCCTAATTTTCCCACTGAATTTTTATAGGAGTTTTAGCGGCATATCTCTTTATATTGCTCCTCATATTTTTTTTCCTTAAAAGGTTTTTAGGGGAGTAATCTATATGTCGTATCTCCAATATTTTTTCCCCACTGGGGTTTTTAATGGGATACCAATGACATAGTGGTTTATTTAAATCACACTCACATATGCTATTTTCTCCTTATTCTCCTATAAGGTTTAAATGAGTTTTTATGGCATGTCTATACATACATATTCTTTAGATTTTTCTCACAGGGTTTTTCGAGGAATCCAAACTACAGCTGTATTGATCTCAAGAATGATTCGATCAAGGGGGAGTGTTGTGAATCAACACCTACCTCTTCACTGGTGAACAGGCGTCTCCTCACCGTGTGATCTCATCCACAAGAAAGGATATGCAGTTAGAGAGAAGGGTAGTAGTTAACGTGTTAGCGTTAGGATGCCACCCGAAGGGGCATGTCCTTTGGGTAGTCGACTGTTCCTATGAACAGTTGCCTCTCCGTGTAAACAAACACATTTTCACTCTGTATATATATATCTAAGAGATCAATGAAAGCAAGAGTTGTTTCCAAAATCTCTGTTCATTTACATTCACATTCAACAAAAGTTAACCGACAATCTTTTTAAATCAAACCCAACAAAAAAATACCCAAGAGATGAATCCCAGCCATGTAATGAGGCAGCACCTGTCCATTGATGCAAGTGGGCTAAGTGTTGAATTTTTCTTTGTTTGGAAACATGATCTATGATTTCTCCCGGTTATGTTTGGATGATCAAATCCGTGTAAACACGAGTAATATTAATTGGCATGCGTCATGTGGTTTGAACCGATGCTTCAAACAAGTTTATCTACCACCATAACATGGCTACAAAAATTTTTGTACAACAGTACCCAACAAAATCCTCTTAAAGACTCTCATCTCATCCCTGATTTTACATCTCCATGCCGTCCTGCGCCATATTCTGCAGATCCTCCTCAGTCAACAGCGTCTTCTTGCCACCGCTTCCCGTCTTGTCATATGGTTGTGCCATCCTCCGGAGAAACTGTTGCAGAGCAAGTGTTAGAGCATCACTATGACAAGCAACAGAGCAGGTTTGGTCGATGCTAGTGATAAAGAGAGACGAAAATGCTAACACTATGATACAAAGTTAAATATACAGGGCTATTCAAGCTGTTTTAGTATTCTTATACGTAGGGGGGAAGGAACCTTGTAAGCTGTGAACACCGAACCTGGTACTATAGCTTCTGGATGATAATAAAATTGGCAGCAAATTGCTTTGCAAATCACAATAGCCGAAAGCAACAAAAGCTTCAAGGAACCAGTCAAGGAAACAAATTTGTAAATCATACCTCACGAGCTATATGGAGAGCCATATCAGTGCTCAGATTTAGGTGCGCATCATGCAAATGCGAGAGTATCCACCCAGGCAACTTAGACCGTTTATCATGCCGACTGTATCTGTAAGCAAAAGGAATTTACCAAAGGTGAAACTTCACATAAAACATTAACACAGCAAGGAAATGAACACAACAAACAGCATTATGTGTCATGGAAGTATGGATGCAATTTTGCTGGAATTCAGATCTAAAAATAACTAAAACTAAGCTGTCTGCTTATAGTCCATAAGACCCAAAATAAAAGGAGTATGATATGCATAAAGGTCCATAACACATAAGTATCAAACCAAGCAATGGTTATTAAGAGAGTTGTTGGTGAAAAGAAACACAGTGACCAAATGCACATTTTTTAGTTGGAAAGTTCACGTTCATGCATAATTTTAATACTTCATAAGCATGTCACCTTTGCTGACATTGTAATAGAGGTTTAAACTAAAGCAGCTTGTTTCCAGATACGTATATTGGAGTAATAAGACGGCACAGGATTGGAGCTGGTTCGTTAGCATACAACTATACATGCGGGGTTCTTGATGCTCAGCTATGCTAGAACTCAGTGCGTCAAGGCAGTAATCAAATACCTCTTGTCAGCAAATATCATCATCCCATAATCAGCTTTGGAGCGAATCACACGGCCAACACATTGGGCTGCTTGCCTCTGACATTAATGAGATTTCAAATTTATTTCAAGAAATTTTGTTAGAAATATCTTGACAACATAAGAGGTGACAATGAAAAGGAGTTGTTTTTCCTGAAAGTAATAATGTTATTACCAAAGCATCAAATGTTAGGAAGTCACCCTCCTTTATCTGGAAAGTTTCCCGGAGGTACTCCAACCTAGCAAGCAATATCCTGCAAATCGTAGAGACAAACAAAGGCAACTATTATGAAATCATTAAGCCACCACAAACTGCAACTGTGTACATGCATCAAACTACTTATACATACGAAGTAACTATAACTTAGCACCAAAATCAAGGGGTAGAGAGGATTGAAGCTAAATGTGAACAGAACTCACCGGCTCAGAGTGTACTGGAAAGGAACACCAAACATGATAACTAATCTGCCATAGTGCCGATCAAAATCAATACCTTCAGCAACTTTGCCCCTGCATTAAGTGTTAGCAAGAGTGAAACTATAGCTTCCAACGGTGACAACATTTTTTTTTTATCTATGTTACATAGTCACAGCCACATCACTGAATATTTAACATAACCAAAAATAAAATTTGGAAGGTTGCTTTCAGATCGCAAATAATAAGGTGGACCAACCTGGCAACAGAGAAGAAAATGGCACCTCTTCCACAATCACATGCCTTTCTGTAGTTATCGAGAGCCAATGTTGTCTCAACGACATCTGGTGTTTCGATGAACACTAATTTATGTTGCATGATGTCCTGCAAAACAGTAAGACCAGGTTTTCGTTATTGGAACTAATGTATATGTATCTTATCTAGGCTATAGAAAATTTACAGGTATTTCATTTTCATAACACAAATGACTAGCATATCTTTGTGGATAACAAAAATTTAGCACCAATACCTGGCATATCTGTTTAGATAGCAAAACTGCAGATATGATAGATGTAATTCTTTGTCCAAAGACTAGATAGCATCTATTTAGTACCAAAGGTAAGACTTAAACCTATGCTATGCATGTTGCTGATGTAATAAATAATTCAGCAGTGTCTATACGAGTGCGATAGTACTGGTAGATACTTTTAAGTCTTAATGCAACTTGAGACTCTTATTATCAATATAGATAGGTGGATGGAAAATCCAGAACATGCAATGAAAATATGGCATTAGATGCTTAGACACCATTTCATATACTTACTGTAAACCGATGGTGTTCCAGAGGACCTGCCCCGTTATCTAACAGATATGGACGATTTATGAACTTGGCTGAGTTGCATAGGTGTTACACGATTAGACCCATTCCTCGTTGCCATATCTATATTTTATCTGAACTGTAGGGTTTATATGAGAGAAAAATATACAAGTGAAAGAAATAACCTGCAGAATTCCCATTTCGTGCCAGCTGTTGACAATGCCATCCATATAGGAATAACTGACAAAAAAGCAAACTATGCCATCTGGAACAGCAGAAGCCATTTCTAGCAAGAGGCGGCCATAATTCCTCACAACACCAGGATCACTACGCATATCAAACTTTGTACTCACAGGTAGCTGGTCACTGAAAATGATGGAATGATTGATGTTTACACAAAAGTGTACAATATTACCAGTAATATGAAATTTTGGAACTAACTAAAGATGTCATAAAAGCTTAACATAAGTATCATATGATCCTTAGTCCTTAGGAATAAAAAGGTAGCCTGTATATGCAATACAGTGTTAGCATTTCCAAATCTAAGAGTATGTTGGCAATGCTAACACTTAAAGACTTGGGCATACTACATTATTAAATTTTGAAATATGAAGTTCATGTGGGACCAGAACCACTCATACCTTCCTCGAGTCAAGACCATGGGACAAATACAATCTCTTGTTAAGGACATTGTGAAGCTTCTGCTTATGACAGGATTAAAATTCAAGAGACGAGGATAAAGATCTATTGGGCTGAGAGTTCCAGAAGTGATCACAACCGTTTCAAAACGATCAAAAACAGGTCTTATTGCGAGTGAAGCATCATGGCAACTCAGCTGCAAAACAGATGAGTTCATTAATAGCACATTAAAGAAGCAGTAAGATCATCAAGAGTAGTCTGGGTACCTGAATAACAGGATCACGAATATCAGGCATTCTCTCATCATATGGCTCTATTATAATAGAAAAGCCGCGTGTATAAGTTCCAATCAGTGTGGCAAAGTCACATATGGTCTGTATGTGCATGAACTCATCTGTATCAGTTATCTCTAATGTCATCATTAGGGAGTGTAGCCGGTCATAACAAAACCTTAGCATTTTTTGGTCGATTCCAGCCTGGGAATGGATTGAAGCAACAAAGGAAACAGGCATTTCATTCTCAACGTTTTCTGTATCAAGCCGGCCATCAAGGAATCTCACAAGCCTCCGCAAGACAGCAAGAAAGTGTTCAGCCCTCCTTATGTTTCCAGGAACAGCTTCCTTCAGAATATCATCAGGCAAAGCCGGATTCGCGAGCCAGGCATCCGATACTACATCACAAGAAGCACAATACTGTTAGGTATCTGTAGAAGGCCATAGCTGACAGCGGGAAATGCAGTAATAGTGACAAAAGGCAGTGCTTACTTGGTAGATTTCCTCTCTGCGCCAGTCCATCCACCAGTCTGTTGTATTCAGCACGAAGCCTATTGGCATCGGTGGCCTTAAACCTTCCTACCAGATAAAGCAGTTAGCAAGCAAGCAAGCTTAATTACCCATCACAAAGTTGGACAGTAGTTTTAAAGAAACAGAACCTATCGTTCAGTGACTATTAGTGGCTGAACTTAAGTATGTCCAACAATTGAGAATAGTACCTGTCGATCTCTTGGGAGATGCGCCGCAGATTTCGCTCAGCACCTTCCAGCGTCTGTTTGCGGATGCTGACACTCAGCGCCTCTATGCAGACATTGTCGATGTTGTGAGCCTCATCGAAGACGACCACGCACTCCTTCTGCATCTCCCTGGACACAATGCTGGCCACCTTGGGGTCGAGCAGGTACTGGTAGCTGTACACCACAATATTGGCGTACTTAACCATCTGCCTGGCGAGGAAGTAGGGGCAGACCCGGCGCTCCCTCCCGAGCGCTCGGAGGTCGGCCAGGGTGTACACCCCAGGCGGCATGAAGGAGGCGAGGTCGCCGGCGGCAGCGGCCCGGTCGAACGTCTCGTAGAACTCGCACAGCGGGGTGGATTCCGGGTCGGAGGCGGCCTTCTCGCGGACCCAGGAGGCCGTGAGGCGCCGGCAGGCGGTGTCGACGGAGTCCCGCGCCGCGGCGGCGGACGCCTGCGGGTGGACGCAAAGGTTCTTGCGGGAGGAGAGGCCGAGCGCGAGGAGGGAGCGGGCGGCGGGCGGCGGGAGGTGGGCGAAGAGGAGGCGGAGCTCGGCGAGGGTCTTCTCCATCTCGTGCACGGTGCGGGTGCAGTAGATGAGGCGGAGCGGGCGGGCCGGGTTGGCGAGGGAGTAGGAGGTGATGAGGGAGATGAGCGCCGCCGTCTTGCCCGTGCCCGTGGGCATCTCCAGCAGCGCGTGCCCGCGCGCGTCCAGGGCGCGCTTCAGCTCCCCCATGTACGCGTGCTGCTCCGGGTAGATCGCCGCGTACGGGAAGTGCACGGGCAGGCCATCCAGGTCGAACCGCATCGTGGCGGAGGGGAAGGGCAGCCGCGGGGGGAGCGCCGGAGTGGGAGGGTTTGATTCGCCGGAGCCGGTGCCCGCGCCGCCGCCGCGGGGAGGAGAGAGCACGTGAGGTGCTCGCTGGAATACCCCCGTGCGAGGAGATGCTGGTGGGCTCCTGCCGAGAATAGGCTTCTGGGTTGGGCCGCTATAGAGGAATCGCCTGCCCTGCGGGCCTAAATTTTAGTGGAATGCATAGAACGCATAGCCTCATAGGCTGCCGGAATAATTCGGAGTAACTTGATCGGATACCGTGGTGACTCTGCTAAGAAGAAAGAAAGATAACGTGTGACTTGATCGGAGTAACTTGAAACACTTGATCGGAGAGATGTGTCTCGAAGGAAATGGGGTTTGTTTAGTGTTTGGTATGTTTTATTGGCTGGTGTAAAAATAGATTGGGATGTTACATATGTTGTAATGGTTATACATGTACGTTGTAAAGTTCTGTTTTCAGTGTTTTATCTGTATTTTAGACGTACGTTGTAAGCATGTTTATTTGAATGTTGCATATATTTTCACACATATGTTGCAAGTGTTTTATCTAGATGTTATGTATGTTTGAAATGTTTTTTCAAGTGTTTTTACAAGTGTTTCAGTGGTATATTTCAAGTGGTTTATCTTTTTTTTATGTCGTAAGTGTTGATCTGAATATTTCAAAAGTAGATCGGGTGTTGCACATAGGACGCGTGTGAGAAAGAGAGGGGCATGAGCGGTCCACGCGTGGGCGACGCTCGGCGGCGCGGCCCCCGCGCGGCTGTGAGACGCCGGCGCGGGCAAGCAACGTCCGCCCAGCGTGGGCCCATACATGGACGCGGGAAAATGGACTGCAGCCATAAGCGTCTAGACGCTAGCAGTGCCGTTCTTATTTGCCAAATTGCTTCTAGCAGCTTACACACGATGACGTCCACAAAATTTACGTAGTTAGGAAGGCTAATAGCCTGTTCGTTTGGTCGTGTTTAGCTTATAAGTCGTACTTTTATAGCCAGCGAATAATATTTTTCTCTCACACCAAATCAGCCAACAGTACTTTCTGCCGTGGCTTATCAGTCAAATAAGCCCAAACAAATAGAGCGTAAGTTCGAAATTTATTTATGCTTTTACGGATACATATTATTTTAGTTTTAGTATATGTAGTACTTTATTATCTGTTTTATTAAATTGTATAAGCCGTTTTACTTTTTCTGTGTATATGGTTTGGGGTTTTTTTTTTTTGCGCCTAGAAACATTTTACAATGTGGAACGGAGGGGTATTTGTTAGGATAATTCATCATGTCAAGACAGTCTTCACTAATTGACTAAAAAGGAGAGGCATAGTCGTGCCAATCAACCTCTTTGGCCTTAAAAAATAATCTTAAGTTCTTACGAAATTGTTGGTCAATCAATGACCATTCTGATCATTTTCAAGTTTTTCCCTCACACAACCACTATAAAAAGTGAAAAGACATGACATAAACCACCAGAGCTAGTACATCAAACCACAATCTCTATTTAAACGGGCGAATAAATGTATAAATCCTAACTATGTTTAGAGCAACTAGTTTCAAAATTTTCTTAGAAAAAAACTATTGCACTTGGCGGTTTTTTGTTTATTTTTTGAGCAGTACAAACGTGTTTTAATTTCTTCAATCAATGAGACTATTATAAACTAGTAAGGTCTTGTTTGATACAAAGTATTTTTGGAGTTTTAGAAAAATACTATGACTTTGTAAAGTATTTTGGTTTTAGAGCGCCATGAAGTGTTTGGGTGCAACAAACTTTATGGTTTTAAATTAATATCATAGAATTGTTGAAATTGTAGTCTTTTTTGGAGTTTTAAAAACTCTACTCTAGATCTCTTTTTTCTAAACCACGATTTTACATATTAATGGTTCTAAAACTATAGTTTCTTGGTTTCTTAATACTACAACATCCAAACAAGGTCTAAACTTATTTGAAAACAGTGCATCACCTGTTTTGGCAGGGAAACCCGAGAGACGAGAGTTGGAGGGGCAGTGGATCAGATCATCCGCGTGTTCCACGGGACGGAATGCAGGGAGGGATCGGAGGGCATCCGGGTGCACCACTTGGACGCCTCCTCTTCCTCCATGGTCAGTATGTCGCCATGCTTGTACTACATATAACTTGCTTGAGCTGTCAGTTTCCGATGCTAGATTGGGGGAAACTGCTTGTCTTTACATTGCAGAACAAAGGTTTGCCAATGCTTTCAACGGCAGTTCTCTGCTTTCACACAAAAAGAAAGGTTTGCCAATGCTTGCTGATTGTAGTATAGTATAGTACTAATAACCGTTCTGCATTTGCTGCAGGGAAATTTGGTAAAGGGTGTCTTAAGGATGGAGGGATGGGAAATGGGGTTTGTTTGCCACGTTAAGAACCCTCACAAAGTCACAAATTTATCCCCAGTTATATATGCCGATGTACTTGAAGTGCCCAAGTTAGTTGTGCAACTAGCTGGGAACCTTGCCGATGACAGGTAAGCCTGTGGATTTTTGTGTGTGTGAATGTGTATTAGGCATGATATTGAGTTCATTCTTTTCTAAAGAAACAGTTCATTTTGCTAGTGGAGAAGAAGGGGGGGTGCTGATGGCGTTACTGTCATGGTGTATTGATAGGTGATAATGTTATAATTGCTTCACATTCTGTGATAGCATTGTCATAGTGTGCTCTGCGTTCTAATACCTTGGTAATACCTTGGTTGGTTACTATGCATTGTCTTAGGTCATGGCTAGCACCCAGACGTATGGATGCTGGCTCCTCGTTTGGACGCTCGCGCCTGCCCCGCCTACTGCACCCACCTCTGAAAGGTCCTAATAACTAGATGGGGGCTGAATAGCCTATAAAAATTTCTACAACAACACTTAAGTCAAGAGGTTAGACAATTAAGAAGCGAAGCTAGTGTTGCACTAGCCTACTCAAAATATAAGCCTCCTATCTATAATTCTAGTTGCTATGATCTCTAATTCATACAAGAGGCCAAGGCATTACTCTCTAAGTTAGTGAGCTCTCCAAAACTAACTAAAGAGCCTCACTGACCACTAACAAGACACAAGCTAGCTCTCAAAACTAACTACATTAAAGAGCTTAGCTACACTAGGAAAGTAAATGTGCAAGAGAGGTAGTGATGTTTATACCGTCGTAGCAAGAGATACACAATCAATCATAAAAGAATCCCGGAGACAATGATTTATCTCTGAGGTCCACTTGCTTGCCGGCAAGCTACGTCCTTATTGTAGTGATTCACCCACTTGGAGGTTCACACGCTAATAGGTATCGCACGCCTAACCCACAATCGGATGCCGCACAACCAACACAAGATGTTTATCCACAAGCTACGAGCAATCCACTAGAGTACATTTTGGCTCTCCGCCGGGAAAAAGGTCAAGAACCCCTCACAATCACCACGATTGGAGCCGTAGATAATCACCTTCCTATGCTCGACGATCCTTGCTGCACCAAGCCGTCTAGGTGGCGGCAACCACCAAGAGTAACAAGAGAAATCCGCAGCGAAACACAATCATCAAGTACCTCTAGATGCAATCTCTCAAAGCAATGCACTTGGATGCTCTCCAATCTCACCAAATGAAGAATCAATCAAGCTAAGTGAATGAGAGACGAATGGCTCAGCTCTAAGGGATGAATAGTCAATGCAAATGGTCTAGAGAGGGCGCCCAAGGCCGGCCCTTCCATTTAAATAGACAACCCAAAGAGCAAATAGTTGTTAGGTCACTTAAGTGATCGTCGGACCCGCAGACACAGGCCGTTAGACTGTCCAACGCTCGGTCCGATGCCCTGCCGCGTCCACTCACGCGCTGCCACGCGTCCCATTTGAATCAAAGTGACCGTTGTCACGCAACAGCTCACTGCCGCGCTGTGATCGCCACCGTCGGACTCAGCCAAGACCCACCGATGGGAGCCCAGGGCTCGACGGCTAACCCTAACGCGCGCGTAGAGAGGAGGCGGCGTCGGACCGAGGCTCGCGGGCGCGTCCGACCAATCGTGTGCACTGTTCATTCAGTGTCGCGCGTGCGAGTGAGCGTAGGTGTGACGCGTGGTAGCGTCAGACTCACCCTTGAGTCCGACGGTTGGCGTCGAACCCGAGTCCAAGTCAAAAATACGCTCCGGACCCTCTCTTTTCGAGCGCGAACACTTCACCCTTGTGCATGTGTGCCAACTCCAAGTATTTCACCACATGTGTACGTGAGTTAGCAACAATCTAATCCAAATCACAAGGGTGTTAGCACTCACTAGAATATAAATGCATATGTAATGAGTTAGAACATCTAGTGACACTTTGATAATCGCATTTCGCGACGAGTTTCACCCCTTTTAATAGTACGGCTATCTATCCTAAATGTGATCACACCCACTAAGTGTCTTGATCATCAAAACAAAGAGCTCATATCAATTATACCTTTGTCTTGAGCTTTTTTGTTTTTCTCTTTCTTCTTTTCCAAGCCGAGCACTTGATCATCACCATGGCCATCACCATCATCATGATCTTCATCCATTTGCTCCACCACTTGGAATGTGCTACCCTATCTCATATTCACTTAGAGCAATGGGTTAACACTTAGAGTTTTATTAATTCACCAAAACCAAACTAGAGCTTTCAACCCCGTATGCTGCACCTGCCCGCCCACCCTGCATGTTGCTGGCCAAGCATTATCGCAAACGGGCGCATGCTCCTACATGCCTGTGCCTACCGCCACGCATGCAGGTGGGGACCACCCACACCTGCTTCGCTTCCCGCCCGTACGCGGGGACTGCCTCCGCATGCGTCTGCTTTCTGTGCCTGCCAATGTTGAAACATGAAGCAATTCTTCAACATACGTCTGAAAACATGTGAAACATTTGCAACGTACGCTTGCAACATATATGTATAGGCACTGCAACATATGCAACATCTAGATAAAAACACTTGCAACATACGTCTGAAAACAGATGAAACATTTTGAATAGACACTTGCGCC